GACTCCGGCTGCCGCACCGTCCTGCGCCTCCACAGGGCCCTGCGCTGGCTCCAGCTCTTCCTGGAGGGGCTGAGGACCGGCCGGGAGGACTCTCGGACGTCCGTCATCTGCACGGACTCCTACAACGCTTCGCTGGCCACCTACCACCCCTGGGTGATTCGCAAGGCTGCCACGGTGGCCTTCTGCACGCTGCCGCCCCGGAACACCTTCCTGGAAATCATGAACGTGGGCACGGCTGAGGAGGCTGTCGCTATGCTGGGCGAGGCCTTGCCCTATATCTGCGATGTCTACGGCATCACCCAGGAGCTCTTTGCCCAGCACAAGCTGCTTGACCTTCCCTGACCCGGAGGGCTGTTAAAGAGCCACGCCGCGTCCCGACACGTAGCACGAGCCGGGCGAAAGCCGTGTGTTTTCAGAGACGCACAAGTGCCTGGTTCTCCCTTTCCTTTTCCAGTACGGAGCTAAGTTGGCAAAGCTGTTCAGGATGCCTCGCTTCGCAAGAGAAGAAACACCCCATTTTTTATCCGTACGTATATCTGCCTGTGTAGAGCCTCGCCTCTACAGCGAGGAAAAAACACCGCCGTTAAGGTGCTTAAGGGATTTCTTTTCTTCTGGATTCACCTCCAACTCTCCAGCCAGTGGGAGTGGGGGTTGCTGGTTTCCTTTTTAAGCCAAATCCTACTGTGTTTACACCGATAGTTAGGGCCTGGCGTGACACCACCTTTCAGATATGCTGAGTACATTCATACTCCATCTCTGCTCGCTTTGCCACTTGTGTTTGCAAGCTGTTTCCTTGATTAGATCCGGGGTGGGGTTGCCTCTCTTTTCCTTCAACCTTGAAAACACAGTCCTGAGTAACGCGTGCCTGAAGGGAAGCTCTTTTCCTGTGCTCCCTGACTCATTGCTGCTGCTCGTTCTGTGTCCCCGAGAAGTAAGAAGGAAATGCTGGTGTACGGCGTTACTGTAAGAGACCTTCTTCCTTCTGTGTAGCTTCCCCTGTTAATCCGTGCGTTCTGCATCTCGAATGCGAACAGTTTCTGGCACGCACTGCACAACACAATATATCCTGTAAGGCTGCAGACTGTATCTTACCTGTTCCCTAGCCATGCTTCTGAGTTGTGTTCCTGGTCTTGTTTGTAATGAGTGTGGGAAATGCCTACAGAAATGCCTTCTCTGTCTGGGGAGAAATCTGAACTTGTACTGTAAAGCACTTCTTTTGAAGCTTATGGCTTCTACTGCAAATCACTGTATGTAACAGCCGGTGTGCGTATATACACACACCCCCTCGAGTGTGTGAAACGGAGTTTACTTAGCTTTTTGAAAGCTGAAAAAGCACTGCATTGTTAATTCAGGATCACACGAATGTTTGGGGGAGGAGGGAGAATCCCACAGGCTGTAACACGTGCTTTGATCAGGCCAGAATGCCTTCTGAATGATTCAGGAAATCACTCATGGAGATCAAACTATCTGCACATTAAATGATGTGAATAACCTGCTTCTGAAGAGTGTCCTTTCTCGGAATGCCTCCTTGCTTTGTGGTGCTGGGAGGAACCTGACCTACAGTGGTATCTATTCATAGTCTGCCTTTCACTAGCAGCGTCTGGTCCGTTTTCCTGGCGATCAGATGTGAAATCAGCTCTCAGGAGTAACACGGACGAAGTGCACTGAGCTCCTTTTCCGATCAGTCGCACCCGTCACCCTAACCCTAACGCACCCGTCAACAGGATCTTTTGCCTGAAAGCAGGAAATGCAATTGCCTTGAACGTCCTCAACGGAAGTTTTGTTGCTATGCTGTGAAAACACAAATACTATTCCCTTTCTGCTAAAATGATTCACCTTAAAATGATTACAGAGTTCCGTAGGACAAATCCACACACTGAAATGGAGCAGTTCCATGTTACAAACTACAGGTACCTCTCGCTGGACCGCCCTTGCTGTCAGATATAGATATAGTTGGTATTTCACCTGCCTAGTGTGTTAAACACCTTAAATTGTGTCAAGTAATGTTCTGTGTCAACTGAAAAAAACGGTTTAGCTCTCTTGAGAGATGCAGAAAGGGTGGTGCGACCACATGGGAAAATGACTTCTGCTCCCTTGTCACATTCATTCTCAACAGATAAACATTCACATTGAAAATGAACTTGATTTTTGCCATTAGAGAATCACACTTTCTCAGGAGGGAAAAGATTTGTTTGTAAGTTTATAACCAATCGTTTTGCGCAAAGTGCGCGTCAAGTGGAACGCAGCTTTCCATCGGTCTGCACGTGCTCGTTTCAACAAGGTATTGCCTAACGAGGCTCTTCCGTTCCTGGTGTCCTGCTCTGTCCCCAAATGATGGGAGCCTCTTGAAGAGCCCCAGCGAGTTACCACCCAGTGAAACGATGGCTTTGGGTAAGCCCAGAGTCTGGCAGCTTTCGCTAATGGGGCCAGATTCAGACGAGTAAAACCCTCGCCCGCAGTGAGTGGTGTACTTGAAACCTGCAACAACGCACAGGTTCGCTAGAGGGAGTCGTTATTTTGCACAAGAGTCTGTAAGCCACATAAACTGCCTCCTGTGCCACAGTAAGCGTACGTGATTACACGTGAAAGTATGGATGGGAGCAAATGATGGCCCGCGTGTGCCTTCTACGCCGTTCAAACAGCTTTTTTAGGGTTTTTTTCCCCGCTCTGTGTGGTTGGATTTGCACTGAGAACTTACTAAAAGAAATGATACAGTTAAAGCTAACACTGGAACATTCCATTAAGAGGAAGGTATCCTTGAAAGGATGGCAGTATAAACACATACAACGTAGCTACAGAAACCTACAGCTGTTGCTGGCCCAAAGTACTCCGACGCGTCGCTCTCTACGGCACGCCTGCTTCTCCTCAAACATGGAAGACATTCTAGCCTTGTCGCACAAGTGGTGTATCGCTTCAGCAGCATCGGCCGTTTTTATGATACAGTATAAATATCCCAAACCATTCTATGATTCTGTAAATATGTAATAAGCCAATAAAACGCAGTAAACTGAACTATTCAATTCAGAGCTGTCCTGCTTCCTAAAATTCAAATCTGACAGAAAAAAACCCGCCAGCGCTGAAGCAACTGAACTAACTTAGGCTGCGGAACTTGTAGCTAAACCAGAGTTTTTAAATGGAAGTTAACAGCATAGCTCAGTGTGAGAAAAGTTCACATCAGTCAACAACAACTTCCTAAAAACAGCAGTACAGCAAGGAACAGCTCACCAACCTTGCGATCCAGGAACGGCCTGCTCCAGAGAAGTTCTTGTGCACTGGGGAAGATTTGGTTATCTCCATGATGAGGTGACCTTGAATTTAAAGAAAAATACAAGTTACTGCTGTGTAAGTCTCCCCCAAGCTCTTTACTCCAGACAACTCACCATGCTCTACAAGACACACTGGCTTGTTGGATTCTGCTCTTTCCCAAACACATTCTCCTTGGAGATGCTTTTAGATGAGCAGCCTGCGCTGGTGAAGATCTGCTCCCAGCATCAGGCAAGTCCCAGATCCAGTTGTTTGTGAAAACTATAAACAGGGACAGTTCCTACAAACACATTCCATTGAAGAGGATGTGTCCAAATTTGGGGGGAGGGAGACCCGAGTTTACCACCGATCCACAGGAAGCCGAATATCCAGAGCTGTGGCAATAAATACGGTAGGTCACTCCGCTTGAGTGAAGGCTACTCACTGAGTAAAGGGAACCAGGATTAGGCCAGTGGTTTGCCACCACGTACGCTCACAGGGTACTGCTGCGTGTCTGACTACTGACCACGAAGCGCAGAGTTACACCCTCAATGCATTTTGCTAAACAAATTCTTCCCCATTAGCTAGATCTCTCCGAGTTCTATTTAAAGACACTTCCTGGGAACTGCTGAGGCAGGATCCCATGCCCCTGTTCCTTCTCCCACATTCACTTGGAGACCTCTTGGAAGCATTTTCCCCTTGGCAGACACACGATGGTCCTTGGCCTGCTGCTGTGCTGGAGCTGCGGTTATGCAGCAGCCCTCAAACCCACTTGCCTATCAGCTCAGTTTAGAAGGCCTGGCGATTATATCCTAGGAGGCTTGTTCCCTTTTGGAATGGACACCGTAAACATGACGGCGCAGTCGGAGCCCACGTTCGTGGCGTGTGAAAGGTAAGGGGAATGCTGGCTTCATCAGCGCACGTTAAGTTTGGTCACGTGGGCTGGGGAGAGAAAGGAAGCAGTGCTGCTGATCGCAACTGCTGGTCTCACAGGGGCACATGGAAGGTGGGGTGGAAACAAGGATGAGCTCTAAGGCGCTGGAGCGTGGGTGTACTGGACCACCAACTTGGGATCCTGAAATGGAAAATGGTTTTGTGCTTTCTTGATGCTACCATGCACTCCAACTTCAGCTGCACCACCCCGTTTCGATGAAAGCTTTCAGTGGTACTGGCTTCCTTAGCGTTTGGGATCTAACACACAAAGGCGTACATGTTGCTTTTCCTTCCAGAGGGAATGAGAAGCACGCACTGTGCTCTGCAGGCAGATGACACACATTGAGATGGCACTGTCACCATTTATGAGACTAAAGGACACTCAGTACTGTGCACAGGGCAAAGCAGGAAATGAACTCACCTGGCTTGCAGGCTTGCCGGTGTGTAATCAGCATTTCCTACTCAGTTACACCAACGTGGTTCATACCATCACATTACAAGCTGCTTACAGCTCTCTGTGAGGAGAACGAAAAGACGTGCTACTGTCCCACCTGCTTCTTTGGCAGCAACAAGGCACAGAAAAGCATGGTCCAAAGTATTTCCCTCTTCGCAGGCAATGAGGCAGAGAATATGCCCAGTGCACTGAGTTATGCAGTGCAGGAAAACCCCAGGAAGAAGGACATCTCACCTGAATTAGTGAGCACAGCGCTTCGGGAACCACTAGCTTCGTGGCTGAAGTACACAAAGCTAAGAGCAGGAGGTCATCTGAGTCTTGACCCTCACCATTAAACACACTGGTCTCTCTCTGTATTGGTTTCTTCTCCTGTGAAGCACAGGGGATATATTATCTGACAGACAAGATTAATTAGATTTGAAAGGTGCTCAGAGCCCCTCTACTCACAGTACAATACTTAGAAATGCTGTGGGTGCAGGGATGCTCTGCTGGCAGCACCAAGTCTATCTGGCTTGGCAACATACATGTCAAAGAACGAGGAATATGCCGATCACCATTGTAACAGCACTGGTAGACCACTTAATTCCCTGTTTCTTACTGCAGGTTATTTGCAGAGGGGCTAATATGGGCCCTTGCGATGAAGTTTGCTATTGAGCAGATCAACAATTCCACTTCCCTTCTCCCGGGAGTGAAGCTGGGCTATGACATGCAC